TTGAGACCCCATTCTAAATATATAATCTGTATCTAACTAAATCTAAAAAACCACATTATATAATTTTTTAATGCTATCTACTTCCCTTAATAAATCTCAAATGACATAAGGGAAACTTACAAGACTTTATTCTGGAGAGTTTCAGCAAACAAGGGGACATCTGTTCCTTACCAGCTATGAACTCCCTGAAGGCAGACTCCATGTTGGACTAGGCCCTCCCAGTCCCACTCTGCCTAAGCCCATGCCTTTACATGCAGTAGCTGCTCAATACACATTTGACAAAATAATAGATGAATTCTTATAATATATGTCCTATAGTGACTCATCCAGTAGTAGTTTTGCTAAAATAGATACTACTATACTGATTTTTATTTTTGGCAGAGAAACTTTGTAATTAACACTCTTCTGTAATTAACATATAATACTAACAGCCTAGTTTAATATCCAACTATTTTACACAGATGATTAATCACAAGTAACAGTGCCAAAATAGGAGCTTTCAAAAAAGGGGAAAAAGGAGGACTGGAAGAAGACGGTGGAGTAGGAGGATCCTGAGCTCACCTCATCCCACGGACACACCAAGTTAACAGCTACATCTGTGCTAAAAATGACCTGAAGACCGGGAGAACAGACCTTCCAGTGAATCAGAGAGAGGATGCAACACTGGAAAGGGGAGGAGGGTCAGAGATACAGTTGGGAACCAAACCCCCAGTGAGACTAACCACAACGAGAGGGACAACACAAGCACAGAGAAGCAAGAGGATTGGACCCAACACCAGGCACCCCAGGCACTGGGAAGACAAGTATCCACTACAACTGGCTTTGAAAACCAGTGAGGCTTAACTTAGGGTACTTAGGGGGATTAACTCCAGGAGAGCAAGAGGGCGGAGGAAACTGAGTCCCCACCTTTAAAAAGCCAGCATAATAAATAACTCCATTCAAGACACAGCACAAAACCAGCAGTTTGAAAAGTGACTATGGTATACATAAAGGAGATTTACTTACTAATCTCAAAATGTGCACTAGTGGGGCAAGGATCTTTAAAAAATCTCTCCGAGAACAAAAGTGCTGGCAGACAACATTTCCTCTCTTTCTCAGCCTAGATAGCTGGACATTTGTGGGAAGCAGCACGAACACTCTCCACCTGTCTAGCTAGCACTGCATGCCCCTCCCCCATGTTCACCTGGTGGACCAGCCCCATCCAACCTGCCTACGTTGGGCACACCTATTAACCTGACCAAGTTCTCATAACTAGGAACATTCAAATTCCAGTAAGAGTAAAATCATATTGAGCATCTTTTTCAACCACAACAGTATAAAACTAGAAATCAATTACAGCAAAATACGTAGAAAGAACACAAATGAGTCAACCAAGAAATCAAAGAGAAAAAATACATGAAACAAATGAAAATGAAAACATCAGTTCAAAATCTTTGGGATGCAGCAAAAGCAGTACTAAGAGTGGTTTATAGCAACACAGACCTACTTCAAGAAACAAGACAAATCTCAAAAAAAACCCAAACTAACCATACACCTAAAACAGAAAAAGCAGAACAAATAAAGCCCAAAGCTAGCAGAAGGAAGGAAATAATAAAGATTAGAGCAGAAACAAATAAAATAAAGGCTAAAAAAAAATAGAAGACATCAACAAAAACAAGATCTGATCCTTTGAAAAGATAAAATTGATAAACCTTTAGCCAGATTCATCAAAAAAAAAAAGACCTCAAATAAAATCAGAAATGGAGGAGAAAAAATAATACCACAGAAATACAAAGGATTACAAAAGAATATTATGAAAAATTATATGCCAACAAATTGGACAACTTAGAAGAAATGGACGAATTCCTAGAGAACATATAATCTTCCAAAACTGAATCATGAAGAAATAGAAAATTTGGACAGACTATTAATAACACAATTGAATCAGTAATCAATTCAACAATGAACAGAGGTCCAGGACCAGATGGCTCTACAAGTGAACTCTACCAAACATTTCAAGAGTTAATAGTTAGTCTTCTTAAACCACTCCAAAAAACAGAAGAGTAATGAAAACTTCCAAATTCATTCTACAAGGCCAACATTACCCTGATACCAAAACCAGTCAAAGACACTACAAAAAAAAGAAAACTATAGGCTAATATCTCTGATGAACAAAGACGCAAAGATCCTCACAAAGTTTTAGCAAACCAAATTCAACAATACATTTAAAAAACATTCACCTCAATCAGGTAGGACTGATCCAGAAATGGCAAGGGTAGTTCAGTATTTGCAAGTCGGTCAGTACGATACATCACATTAATAAGACAAAGGATAAAACCATACGATCATCTCAATAAATGCAGAAAGAGCATTTGACAAAATACATCCATTCATGAGAACTCTCAACAAAGTGGGTTTACAAAGAACACACCTCAACATAATAAAGGCCATATATGAAAAACTTACAGCTAACATCATTGTTAATGGTGAAAAACAGAGCTTTTCCTCTAAGTTCAGGAACAACACAAGGATGTCCACTCTCATCACTTTTATTCAACATAGTACTAAAAGTCTCAGATGCAGCAATCAGACAAGAAAAAGAAATAAAAGGCATCCAAATTGGCATGGAAGAAGTGAAACTGTCACTATTTGCAAATGACATGATATTATATATGGACAAACCTAAAGGCTCCACCAAAAAACTATCAGAACTAATAAATGAATTCAGTAAAGTAGCAGGATACAAAATTAATATATAGAAATCTATCGCATTTTTATACAAAAACACAGTAGCAGAAAGAAATTAAGAAACCAATACCATTTACAATTGCACCGAAGAGAATAACATACCTAGGAATAGACTTAACAAGGAGGTGACCACCTGTATTCTGAAAACTATGAAACGCTGATGAAAGAAATTGAAGAGGACACAAACAAATAGAAAGAGTATACTCACAAATTAGAAGAACCAACATTGTTAAAAGGTCCATACTACTCAAAGCTATCTATAGATTCAATGCAATCCCTACCAAAATACCAGCATTATTTCACAGAACTAGAATAAGTAATACTAAAACTTGTATGGAACCACAAAAGACCCCAATAGCCAAAGCAATCTTGAGAAAGAAGAACAAGCTGGAAGTATCACAATCCCAGATTTCACAGTATACTACAAAGCTACAACAATCAATACAGTATGGTACTGCCACAAAAACAGACACATAGGTCAAGAGAACAGAACAGAGAGCCCAGAAATAAACCCACCATTATACACTCAATTAATCTTTGACAAAGGACGCAAGAACATACAATGAGGAAAAGACAGTCTCTTCCATAAATGGTGCTGGAAAAACCAGACAGCTACATGCAAAAGAATTAAACTCAAAACTTCACTACACCGTACACAAAAATAAACTTAAAATGGATTAAAGACCTAAATGTGAGACCATACCATTTTCCCTAGAAGGTAACATAGGCCAGTAATTTCTTTGACATCGCCATAGCAACATTTTTCTGGGTATGTCTCCCGAGGCAAAGGGAAACAAAAGCAAAAATAAACTATTAGGACTACACCAAAATAAAAGCTCTTGCACAGCAAAGGAAACCATCAATAAAACAAAAAGGCAACCTACTCAAATGACCAGAATCAAAAAGACATGAAATAACAAATGTCAGTGAGGATGTGGAGAATAAGGAACACTTATGCACTGTTGGTGAAAATGTAAATTGACCAACCACTGTGGAAAACAGTTTGGACGTTTCTCAAAAAATTAAAAATAGAAATACGGTATGATTCAGTAATCCCACTACTGGGTATTTACCCAAAAAAACACGAAAACACTAATTTAGAAAGACATATGCACCCCTGTTTATAGCAGCATTATTTACAACAGTCAAGATATGGAAGCAATCCAAGTGTCCATTTATAGATGAATGGATAAAGAAGATGTGGTATGTATGTATAACACACACACACACACACTATGTATAACATACACACACAATATTACTCAACCATAAAAAAGAATGAGATCTTGGGGCGCCTGGGTGGCTCAGTTGGTTAAGCGACTGCCTTCGGCTCAGGTCATGATCCTGGAGTCCCAGGATCGAGTCCTGCATCGTGCTCCCTACTCAGCAGGGAGTCTGCTTCTCCCTCCGACCCTCCCCCTCTCATGTATTCTCTCTCTTTCAAATAAATAAATAAATCTTAAAAAAAAAAAAAAAGAATGAGATCTTGCCTTCTGTGATAACATGGATGGACCTAGAGTGTATATGCTAAGTGAAATATGTCAAACACAGAAAGACAAATACCATGCTTTCAATTATATATGGAGTCTAAAAAACAAAACAAATAAACCTAAAACCAGACTTAATTAGAGAACAAACTGGTGGTTGCCAGAGGGAAAGTGGGTAGGAAGATGGGTAAAAAAATAAGATTAAGAGGTACAAACTTCTAGTTATAAAATTAGTCATGAAGATGAAAACTACAGCATAGGGAATATACTCAATAATACTGTAAAAATATTGTATGATGACAGATGGTGACTACACTTATTGTGTGAGCAGTGAGTAATGAATAAAATTGCTTAATCAATATGTTGCACATAATGTAACACTGGATGTTAACTTGTACTTCAATAAAAAAAAAGGTGGAAAAAAATTCACAATAAAAAATGTTTGATGTAACCTGATTTAGAGGTCTATTCAGAAATCACAAAACAAACACTGATTTCTTTTTTTGAGGATTAAGTGACCATATAATTTATCTTCTATACTGGAAAACTTTGAAGAGTTACAAGGTGATGATAATACCATCACCACCAGGGCAACATGAATAAACCTAGACATTTGGTCACTATAAAGAGGAAAAAACTTAGGACAAGAACTATTCACACATTGTGGTTTTCTTACTCTGGAGAGATAAAGTATATTTTGCATATAAATGAAAATCAAATTCTAGAGATCATTTCTTACGGCACATCCTCAGATGAGCAAAGATTTACAAGTAAACAGAAACTTACCTCTGGTTTAGGGACAAAAGCCTGACCCGGAATTGTCAAGATGTGCTGAACACTGCAGAGGTACTGGGCCATAACAGAAAGGCGACTACGCTGTTTGCTTCCTGTATTGGCTGTCAGTCTCTACGAAAGGACAAAAAGAAATTTTAGCAAATAATTAATTCAGTCTGATCAGATGGAATGCAGTCAATATTCTATTACCTATGGACACTAGGTGGAGTTTTGAGATAAATTTTAAAAGCACAGGCTATCTGACACATGATACACAGGCAGCACGAGGAACATTATCCTCCAATATCAATTGAAGTACACCTAAGAAGTGTGAATTATATCCTATATAATACACTCAGAAACCAAATAAGAAAACTTCCTTACCATTGCATGTTGAGGATTTTCAAAGCCCTATCATATTCTGTAGAAGAAGGTCCTATACGAAACAAGTCATCAATATATATTTGATGAGTGAAGAAATTAGCAAGCATAATTAAGAACTAAAGATGCTTATTTCATTTTATGAATTACCAAAAATCTATGAAGGAACATTTTCAATGGTGCACTTTTCTTTAAGTGTAATAAAACCTTGAATATTCAGAACTCTTGGAGAACTGTTTTGGAGAACTGATTTTTGCAAAAACCAGGAATTCATTCTTTTAAGAACCCAAACACTTTAATTTTAAAATTAGGTATATCTAAATTAACTCATAAATGCAATGCAATTTCAACCAAAATCTCAAAAAAAATTTTTTAAAGACCTTTAAATTAAATTCCATAAAATCTTATATGGAAAAGCCAAGGGCCAGGAATAGCCAGGAAGCTCCTGAAGAACATCAATAACATGAGGAGGGTTGGGGCAGACTCACTATAGCAGATATCAAAATTAAGGCAGTATGGTATTGCTACAGGCATAGACAAACACACCAATGGAACAAAGGTCTTAGACCCAAGCACATGTGGATATTTGCTATGTGACCGATGTGATGTAACAACCACTAACAGGAAAAGGATGGGCCGCTCAATAAGAGATACTGGTATAAGTAGGTATATCTACCGCAGGAAGAACTCCCTATCCTGTACCATTACCAAAAATAAATTCCAAGCGAATTAACAGTAAGTAAAAAGCAAAACTTTAAAATTTTTGCAAGTATTTATAAGTCAGTCAGAGAAAGACATGTATCATATGACCTCACTGACATGAGGAATTCTTAATCTCAGGAAACAAACTGAGGGTTGCTGGAGTGGTGGGGGGTGGGAGGGATGGGGTGGCTGGGTGATGGACACTGGGGAGGGTAGGTGCTATGGTGAGCGCTGTAAATTGTGTAAGACTGTTGAATCACAGACCTGTATCTCTGAAACAAATAATACATGTTAAAAAAAAAAAAAGATAGTAGGAAGGGAAAAGTGAAGGGGGAGCAATTGGAGGGGGAAGCGAGCCATGAGAGACTATGGATTCTGAGAAACAAACTGAGGGGTTTAGAGGGGAGGGGGGTGGGGGGATGGGTTAGCCTGATGATGGGTATTAAGAAGGGCACGTATTGAATGGAGCACTGGATGTTATACACAATGAATCATGGAACACTACATCAAAAACTAATGATGTAATGTATGGTGACAAACATAATAAAAAAATAAGTATTTATGACCCCACAGTAGGGAAAAATTTCTTAAAGATGCAAAAGTAGAAGCCATAAAAGACTGATATTTTGGATTAAAATTTAAAACTTCTGTATAATAAAAACAGTACAAACATAAGTCACAGACTGAGAGAAGATATCTGAAACTCCTGACAAAGGATTAGTGTTCAGAACATCGAAGAAACTCCTACACATTAATTGTCAAAAAACAAACAATAGAAAATATGGTAAGAAATATGATAAGAGCACCCAAATGAACCATAACCATAAACTATGCTCAACCACATTACAAATGAGGGACATACAAATTTAAATTCTAATGAGATACAATTTCATATCCGTGAAATGAACAAAATTTAAACAACAAAAAAGAACCTGGCAGAACCTAGAATTGGTGAATATATGGAGCCAGAGGAACTCCCATTTACTGCTAGTGAGAAGGGCAACTGGTACAAGCACTTCAGACTACAATTTGGCAATATATACAGGAAAGCTGAAGTTGAGTGCACCCTCCTAACCCTTTAAGTCTACCTTTAGGAATATATTGTACAGAACAGTTTATATACTCACATGAGGACATACTGTGTAAGAATGTTAACTGTAACACTGTACATGCATAGCTTCAAAAAAGGTAGAAAAACATAAAGGCCATTGACAGGAAGAAGTAAATGGTGTTACCAACATAGATCCCCAAATAGAAAATAATGAAGGGGCAGAAAATATGTAGAGTATGATTCCATTTATATAAAAACTTCAAAACATTATTTCTTATGGCTTCCTCTGTGTGTGTGTGTGTGTGTGTGTGTGTGTGTGTGTGTATCTATCACTGCCTGGGAATGATGAATATCCATTTTAAGAGAGTATAATAGGAGAGAGACAAAGGGGATAAAAGAGGGTACCAAGTATATCTACAATATTTTATTTCTTAAAAAAAGACATGAAAAATATGGCAATATGTCAAAATTGAATTAAAAAAATTAGGTGCACTGATTTTTAAAAAATGTATCCTGCCTCTCATGTTCTTAGAGTTCACTGGGTATTCTAAACCTCTTGTAAATGATACAGGGTCAACATTACAAACCACATAATTTAGCTTGTAAGAGCTTTGCCTTAAGTAAGATTTAAAAAATAGGTATTAAACTGAGATGCTCAGAAAATTTCCTATGGGCAAAGCTGTAGATTTTGTAGCATCTATTTTGTTACTCAGAAGCCATCCCTCCACCTCATCCCTCTTTTCAAATTACCTGCCTCTTATTTATATTTAGACATCTGAAGTTATTGGGAGGCTGAGTTCAGGACAAGTGATGAGTTGCTTTAGTATAAATGATAAAGTAAATTCTTCCTTACTAAACTGTAAAACCAAGAAATGTATATATTCTCAAACAAGTATCAAAACAAACACGGGAAGCACATATTTAAAGAATAAACTTATGGATCAAATGGTAAAAAATATTTCTAGCTCCTCATAAATTTCTTTTGGAGCTTAACTGTACCACTGGCATGAAAGCAAAAAACTCAAAGTGCACTGTACAACTGGCATACTTCAAAGCAGTTGTGTAAAACTAAAATCCAGCATGAACATAACCACAAAATTAAAGTATAAAACAAAATAAAAAGTCTACACTTGAAAATTATTTCATGCTGAATTCTCTCCCAACATTTTATTTTACATGTCAACGGTGTTTTCACTGATGAATTCAACAAAATTTTAAAAATCACTTTAACCCAAAAGTAAACAAAGGAGGCATGCAGGGTAAAACACTCTGGGCATCAAGACATGTTTAAGTATATTTCACTTAGAGCACTAGGCATTCACTCCTGCCAGGGAAGCCTGACCCATCCAAACTTTGCAGCAAATACACGTAGGCTGTGGAGATGAAAATGTGTGAATCGGATATCTGAATTTAGAAGAAAGCAGCACACACATACCTGTCCTGCATTCATTATGGAATAATTCAAGCCGCAGAGCAAAAAGCTCTGCAAAAGACTTCATTTAAAACTAGCACAAGCGTTAAATGGTCAATTAACCATTCAAACATAAGTTAATATTTCTGTGATAGGTTATATGTAAAGCTATGAAAATTCAAACTCCATTACAAGATAAAGGATTTTAACAAACAACAAAAGCCAGGAAACCAAACCAGTTAATTTTTCAGTAAAAGGAAACCTCTAACCCTTGAAATTTTAAAAGCATTCTGACTTAGTAAAAGAAAAACAAGGGGTCAAAGACTCCACAGGACAGTGTTTCTTCCTTATTCATCTAAAATGATTTTAAGTAGAAAAATTAGGCTTATTCTTGAGAAGCTACACAGCCAAGTATCAGGGACAATGAAAACTATATAATTACTGGTGAGGTGACTCCTTCCCTCCCTGTTACTGATGTGACCATTAAATACCCAGGGTCCCCTGAAGATGGGAGGACATAAAGAGGTTAATCCTGGACCCAGAAAGAAAGACCACAGATCCAGTCACGTGGAGAACATGAACATCATGACTTCAGCAGAAAACATATGACCTGTTTTCAAGTTCAGCTTTCCCTGTAACTAGCTCCATGACCTTCTGGAAGACATTAAACTACTCTGAGCCTCAGTTTCATCATCTATAAAATGAGGTTAGATGAGATTGGTTAAGGTCTCATTTACTGCTACACAATCTGATTCTATTTTATGAGCTGTAACTTCATACTGTCTATACGTTCTTTAATGTGTGTGAGCTGAATTCTTCTATTTAGACCCTGAAGACCTAGAGAGAAGGGAAGAAGACTGTGTTCATCTACTTCTGTTCTATAACTCACAAAGCCAAGCAAAGTGAATGTTTAAAAGTGGTATCTGTGGAATATAAAATTACAGATATGATAGTGTCAAGAGCAAACAAAAGTTATATAAGCAAATGCTGCTATATAGTCTCCTGTTGAAACTTTCACTTGCAAAATGTGAAAACTGCTCAGAAGATCAGTGTTAACTTATAAAGCATTCCATAAATTATAGACTCAATATAAACTCTTCTCAATATTCATACCAGAATTTAACTAAAATCAACATTGGTTTTTTTTTTTTTGGTTAAAGAAAAATAATTGCATGTGGTGGAGTTAAAGCAACACTATTATTAATAACAACTGACATTCTGAGTCACTGAAAATATTACTCCACCTCTTAAGCCTCTGTTCCTTTGCATTTCCCCCCAAAAGAATTAGAGTACATAGTGTTTTGCATCTCTATTGTGTTACTCAAGAAGAGAAATACCATAATAATCATGTTATCTGAGAAAAATAAAAGCCCAAGGACAAATCAAAAGGCTGAGGAAACAAAGAAAACTATTAATATGGGCTCAACTCAAACATACAGAAGAGAGTTAACAGATTCATGAGCAGGAAATGACACTGATCCTGGGAGAGTGGTAACGATGTAGTGTTCCTAACAAACACAAAAGGGTCCTACATTTTTGTGATGGAAAATTCTAAGACTACTTAAGAAAAAGATTTTATGGCTAAAT